CCTCCCAGGCATCCAAAGGAGCTGGCAGACCTAATTTTGGGGTCACCAAATATAATTTCTGAATGCTCCTGCAGCCCAGGGGAGCTCTCAGAGAACTGGAAAAAGAGCTTGACATCAATTCCTGGGAAAATCCTGGAATAGAGAATCAAGTGGTGGGTCCTCAGGGGGCTGACCAGACGCACCCAGTGTTTATTCCTTAATGGAGCTACCGCTACATCTACAAGAAGGGAAGCATTCAGTGGGGAACCTCAGGGATCTGCCTTGGGCCCAGGACTCTTCCACATCTTCATCAATGATCTAGAGGAGGGGATAGAAGGAGAACTCACCAAATGTGCAGAGGACATCAAGATTGTTGGAAGATAGGCTCAATATCCAGGAGGATCTTGACAGACGTGAACATTGGGCCCATCTAACAAGATGCAGTTCATTGGTGAGAAAAGTACAGTTCTTCTTTAGGCAGGAAAATCAATTGCACAGGCACAGAAGGAGCGGTACCTGGCTCAGCAGAGATAACTGTGAGACGGATCTAGAGGAAAACCACTGAAGGATCAGCCAGAAGTGTGCTGCAGCTGTCAACACAGGCCAATGCAGTCTTAGGCAGCAATAAAAGAGGGCCAGTTTCAAGATCGCCAGAAGTGCTGGTACTGCTTTATATCGCACTGGTGAGACCACCTTGGAATACTGTATCCAATTCTGGTCAGCCCAATAGAAAACATTGTTGAGACTGCAGAAAGTTTGAAGAGAAGAGCAACAAAGATGATTTAAGAGCTGGAGGCTAAATCGTTTCATGAACGGTTCAAGGAGTTCGCTATGTGTAGCCTATCGAAGATGATAAGGATCGGGCAGACACAACAGCAGTCTTCCAGACTGTTAGGGTCTGTCTCAAAGGACAGGGAGTGACTTAAGAACTGCAGAGCAGGAAAAAAGACAAGGGGGGACGTTGAAAGGGAGACCCAACCAAGAAGTCAGGAGAAATTTTCAGACAGTAAGAAGTTGTGAGTGCTCCATCACTGGAAGTTTTCAAAAATGGACAAGCAAACCATTTGACTGGGATGGCAGAAAGTTGCTGCCTTGAGCAGACGGTTGGAGTAGAAGACCTCCAAAGTCCCTTCCAGCCCTATGAATCAATCTCTTATGTTCTACCACCCCTAAGACTACTTGACCATCCACAAGCCACTGACCACCCCCGGCATCTCCCTTCTGTTGCCACTCTCTTGCAGGCTCTGGAGCAGCAGGAATGTCTGCCGGCCCCCGAGACCCTCAGCCCAGCCCTGTCTTCCAGCTCTGCCACCAGCTCCGTCAGCCTTGCGGCCTCCGGGGGTCTCTGCTGCCTCGTGGCGTCTCCTGCGGACCCCTCGGCTCCCAGTTCGGCTTCTAGCTGTTCTCCTCGCTGCTCCTCTCCTGTGGGCTGCTGGGATGCCAGCTGCTCGGCTCATTCAGCCACTCGGTTCTGGGTTCCAGATCCTGTTCTGGCCAGACTTTCTGCTCTGCCCACCGCAGAGCCCTCACCCTGTCCCTGGTGGCCCTCATCCTCAGCTGGAACTCTGAGGCTTGGAGAGGAGCCTGTGGACTCACCCTACCAACTTCACCTCCAGGCTCCTTTTTGGCTCGGAGCCCTGGGATTCCCCAGTCCTCTGAGGCCCTGATGCTCGGTGGCTGTGAGGTGTTCAGCTCAGCTGACAGCCCTGCAGTGATTGGGAGGGCGAGGGTGAAGGTGTTGCGTCAGCTGGTGGGGGGGGGGCTCGCCTGGCTCCCCGGCACACGAAGTGGCAAGTCAGGGGAAGGGAGGGGAAGGGAGGGGAAGAATTCCTTTTCTTTCTCGAAAGGGTAAAAGGCCACCGTTCCTCCATTCCAGGTATGGGGAGAGAGGGTCAGCGAGTTGTCCCATGTGCTGGTCGCTTAGGAGCGCCAAAACCATTTCTGAAGAAGGCCACTTGGCTGGGGACCTCCCTGTGGAGATCTTTACTGTCTTTCTCGAAACACGTCGTCTGCAGCTGTAATTCTTGCATCGTCATTTTGACATGGTTCAGTCCTTCTCCGTTGTCCTCCTCAGCTTTCCACAGGTCTCCAACTGTGGCCTGGGAAGCATAGCTCTGCGGCGGCTGCTGTTGCTGCTGTAGATTGTTGACTTGCTTCTTCTTATTTTCCCTCACATTCTGCTGAAGAGGACTGACTTTCTGCATCAGTTGGCTGGAGTGGCTTTTCTCCACGTAGTAACTTTGGTCCGTCTCAACCTGTTCATGCTGCAGACTTTAGAGGTGCTTCTTCAGTTCTTAAGAAGGTTCCAGACTTCTTCGAGACCGCTTCTCAAAGGTTCTAAGGCAGCCTTCTCATATTTGAGAACGGCCGCTTGGCTGCTGACCTGCAGCGTTCTTTGTGCAGTTCTTCAGTGTGTTTCACCAAATATTTGATCTTTAGCCCTCGCTGAGGGATCATGGTGGTGGCACGCTCCAACCTTTCTCTTTTGTCCAGCAGTTTTCTGCCACTTTTTTGTTGTGCTCTTTAGTTGATCGACCATCTTCTTGAGGCAAGTGTGCTGCTTTTCATCCATTGTTTGTCTCTTGAATTCCTGGGTCTGAAGGTCAAAGGCATCTCTCGGCTGCTTAACCTGGAGATGGAGACCATCACTGGCCGTTGAGAGATAGCCCAGGGATATTCACTTTTGGGCCGTTTCCTCCCTGTTGCTGACCTGTCTGAAAAAATGGAGAGACACAGTCACATCCTTCCTCCGTTCAGGGGCCATTTTGCTAACCGGCCTTAAAGTGGCCCATTTTGGGAAACATGGACATAATGCATTGATCATGACCTCCCTTCTAACTGTCGCAAGTTCCCATTTAATTCTGACTCCTTTTCAAGACAAATCACCTCTCAAAAGAGTGCAAAGGAGTCGGCATCAGCAATTGATCAGTTTGGCCATCTCTGACCCTACTAGGTTGCTTCTGGTGACCGTAAGAAGCGAATTAGGAAAGAAGCCTCCGCTCCAAGTACTGACCAGGGCCATCCAAGGCACGACAGTCTGCTGCGTGACCTTGAGCCAGTCTCCCTCTCTCAGTCTTAGCCTACCTCACAAGCTTGTTGTTGTAGGGACGAAGGAGTCTTCGGTACGTTCACTGCCTTGAGCTATTTAGGGAAACAATAAAGGTCAGTAATAAATCTCAGTAATAAAAATAATAAAAAATAAGTAAATCTATCACCAGGCCGAGTGTGTTCGAGATATAACCATATCTAGCCAAAGGAGTCCCTTTTTAGCTTAATTTCCCCAAATCTTTGAGCCCGGTCAGTTTCCAGCTTTGTGGTCTCAATGCCTATCTTGAACTGGGACATCTTGAAACCCATTTTTCTCTAGATCACATTGCTGGCCCCTCCCCCCAGCCAGCCAGTCCCAGCCCCTTTCTGGAGACATGTACCTTTGAGATGGTGGATTGGCAGTTTGTCCACAGGAACGGAGGCTGCTAACACGGCAGGTATCAGCACCACTGTGATCCGGGATTGAGCCCCACATTTCTAGTCTTGCCCCCTAATTCTGCCTTAATGGGAACTGTCTCTTTCTTCTGACACATCCAAACGAGGGAGATCCTCGCTGTGCCTACACTTCCAATGGTACTGAAAAGTGTGATGTATCACGGGTCCTCGCACATATGACTGTAGCAGCATCTCCAGGGTTGCACGCTCAAGACTTGGGTGCAGGGCGATCGGCTTGGAGTTACGGCAAGTGACAGCAATGGGCAAAACGGCACTTGCTTAATGACCATTAATGGCAGCAGGGACTCGCCCAGGAAGTGCTGGGGTGTCAGCAAAATCAGGATGGCAGCCGCACAATCAGGTTTCACTACATATCCAGGAGAGGATGGGGGACGGGGGCAGAGAGGGAGGGGGTGGGGGACTTGCTACCTAGTGTGCCAGGCTAGTCTGGCCACCGCTGGACCTGGGAACCGGAACCGAGCAGCCGCATGGGCCGAGCAGTCGGGAGCCCACAGCCCGCAGGAGAGGAGAGGAGAGGAGAGGAGCCAGGAGCTGGGCCGGGGGCCGAGGGGTCCCCAGGAGAGGCCTCGGGGGAGCAGAGAGCGCCGAGGCAGCAAGGCGGAGGGAGCGGGTGGCGGAACTGGGGGACGGGGCTGGGTAGAGGGTCTCGGGGGCAGGCAGAAGCTCCTGCTGCTCCAGAGCCTCTAGGGGGGAGCAAGAGAAGGACGACCTAACATCCAGCTGTAAGTACTCTATTGCTCGCCTGCATTATATATCCCAATGTTAAAAAAACATTCTGTTACAACACATCTCCAGTAACTCAAAAAGCCCCAACACCCCACTTTTCTCCTGCACCCTATATGTTCACAGTTTGAGAAATACATTTATTTAGAACAAACCTTGAGATACTAAAAATGCCCTAATATATTCCTACACTGTATTTTCAATGCATATGTCCACTTTAAAAAAAAGACTAAAACAAATCTTCAATAACTATACTATTTTTGTAATGCATTATATATGTCTACTGCATATATAATATCTAAGGTATGAAATGAAAACAAAATCCTAAACCCCCCTATATATGCCGATATTTCTCTCCTTTATTATATGTTTCCACTTTTTAAAAAGCTTGTTTGGTTAAAACATAGCTCAAGTGCCTTAACAAGCCCTAATAGATAGCTAAACTCTACACCTGTAACGTATTATATATGTCCATTTTGATTAAAAGAAAACCCTGGAAAATGAAACGATGAAGGACCGAGCAAAAACAATAAGACACAGAAAAATTAAAGATATCATGAGATACCAGAATGGTTGCTCAAAGAGCCCTCTGAGAAGTACAATATGGTCAGGTAGAAAAAAATGGAAAGAAGGGCACATAAGTAAAGCAGAATACCAGCGAGTAGACTGAATTTGCAAGGACCGACTCGGAATAGCAAAGGCCTGGAATGGGCAAAGACTGGCAACAAAGACCAAAAATAATAAAGGAAAATTTTATGTAAGGAACAAGAAGAAAGTCAAGAAAGTCAATAGGTCCACTGATGGGAGCAGAAGGCAGGAAGGAGACAGGCAGCAGGGTGAATTCAGAAATGCTTAACTCCTTTCCATCTCTTTTTCAGCAAAAGAAAAAAAAACAGCCTATCAACAGCAACATCGAGAGAGATAGAATCTATATACGATTCCAAATAGGCACGAAATTAGTCAAAGAGGACCAATCCACTCTGGATGGGTAGAAATCACGCCGACCCTCCCAGGCTTCCAAAGGAGCTGGCAGACCTAATTTTGGTGTCACCAAACGTCATTTCTGAATGCTCCTGCAGTCCAGGGGAGCTCTCAGACAACTGGAAAAAGAGCTTGACATCAATTTCTGGGAAAATCCTGGAATAGAGAATCAAGTGGAGGATTTCGAGCACCTAGAAATGGACATCCACCAGTATCACCTTCAGATGGGTCCTCAGGGGGCTGACCAGCCGCACCCAGTGTTTATTCCTTAATGGAGCTACCGCTACATCTACAAGAAGGGAAGCATTCAGTGGGGTACCTCAGGGATCTGCCTTCGGCCTAGATCTCTTCCACATCTTCATCAATGATCTAGATGAGGGGATAGAAGGAGAACTCACCAAATGTGCAGAGGACATCAAGATTGTTGGAAGATAGGCTCAACATCTAAGAGGATCTTGACAGACCTGAACAGGATGCAGTTCATTGGTGAGAAAAGTACAGTTCTTCCTTAGGCAGGAAAATCAATTGCACAGGCACAGAATGGGCGGTACCTGGCTCAGCAGGGATAATTGTGAGACGGATCAGGAGGAAAACCACTTAAGGATCAGCCAGATGTGTGCTGCAGATGTCAACATAGGCCAAAGCAGTCTTAGGCAGCAATAAAAGAGGGGCAGTTTCAAGATCGCCAGAAGTGCTGGTACCGCATTATATCACACTGGTGGGATAGAAAATGTTGCTGAGACTGCAGAAAGTTTGAAGAGAAGAGCAACAAAGATGATTTAAGAGCTGGAGGCTAAATCGTTTCATGAACGGTTCAGGGAGTTCGCTATGTGTAACTTATCGAAGATGATAAGGATCGGGCAGACACAACAGTAGTCTTCCACACTGTTAGGGTCTGTCTCAAAGGACAGGGAGTGACTTAAGAACTGCAGAGCAGGAAAAAAGACAAGGGTGGACGTTGAAAGGGAGACCCAACCAAGAAGTCAGGAGAAATTTTGAGACAGTAAGAAGTTGTGAGTGCTCCATCACTGGAAGTTTTCAAAAATGAACAAGCAAACCATTTGACTGGGATGGCAGAAAGTTCCTGCCTTGAGCAGACGGTTGGAGTAGAAGACCTCCAAAGTCCCTTCCAGCCCTATGAATCAATCTCTTATGTTCTACCACCCCTAAGACTACTTGACCACCCACAGGCCACTGACCACCCCCGGCTTCTCCCTTCTGTTGCCACTCTCGTGCAGGCTCTGGAGCAGCAGGAATGTCTGCCTGCCCCCGAGACCCTCAGCCCAGCCCTGTCTTCCAGCTCTGCCACCAGCTCCGTCAGCCTTGCGGCCTCCGGGGGTCTCTGCTGCCTCGTGGCGTCTCCTGCGGACCCCTCGGCTCCCAGTTCGGCTTCTAGCTGTTCTCCTCTCTGCTCCTCTCCTGTGGGCTGCGGGGATGCCAGCTGCTCGGCTCATTCAGCCACTCGGTTGTGGGTTCCAGATCCTGTTCTGGCCAGACTTTCTGCTCTGCCCACCGCAGAGCCCTCACCCTGTCCCTGGTGGCCCTCATCCTCAGCTGGAACTCTGAGGCTTGGAGAGGAGCCTGTGGACTCACCCTACCAAGTTCACCTCCAGGCTCCTTTTTGGCTCGGAGCCCTGGGATTCCCCAGCCCTCTGAGGCCCTGATGCTCGGTGGCTGTGAGGTGTTCAGCTCAGCTGACAGCCCTGCAGTGATTGGGAGGGCGAGGGTGAAGGTGTTGCTTCAGCTGGTAGGGGGGGGGGCTCGCCTGGCTCCCCGGCACACTAAGTGGCAAGTCAGGGGAAGGGAGGGGAAGGGAGTGAAAGGGTAAAAGGCCACCGTTCCTCCATTCCAGCTATGGGGAGAGAGGGTCAGCGAGTTGTCCCATGTGCTGGTCGCTTAGGAGCACCAAAACCATTTCTGAAGAAGGCCACTTGGCTGGGGACCTCCCTGTGGAGATCTTCACTGTCTTTCTCGAAACACCTGGTCTGCAGCTGTAATTCTTGCATCGTCATTTTGACATGGTTCAGTCCTTCTCCGTTGTCCTCCTCGGCTTTCCACAGGTCTCCAACTGTGGCCTGGGAAGCATAGCTCTGCGGCGGCTGCTATTGCTGCTGTAGATTGTTGACTTGCTTCTTTTTTTCCCTCAAATTCTGCTGAAGAGGACTGACTTTCTGCATCAGTTGGCTGGAGTGGCTTTTCTCCACGTAGTAACTTTGGTCCGTCTCAACCTGTAAATGCTGCAGACTTTAGAGGTGCTTCTTCAGTTCTTAAGAAGGTTCCAGACTTCCTCGAGACCTCTTCTCAAAGGTTCTAAGGCAGCCTTCTCATATTTGAGAAAGGCCGCTTGGCTGCTGACCTGCAGCGTTCTTTGTGCAGTTCTTCAGTGTGTTTCACCAAATATTTGATCTTTAGCCCTCGCTGAGGGATCGTGGTGGTGGCACGCTCCAACCTTTCTCTTTTGTCCAGCAGTTTTCTGCCACTTTTTTGTTGTGCTCTTTAGTTGATCGACCATCTTCTTGAGGCAAGTGTGGTGCTCTTTCATCTGTCGTTTGTCTCTTGAATTCCTGGGTCTGAAGGTCAAAGGCATCTCTTGACTGCTTAACCATCACTGGCCACTGAGAGATAGCCCAGGGATATTCACTGTAGGGCCTTTTCTTCCCTGTTGCTGACCTGTCTGAAGAAATGGAGAGACACAGTCACATCCTTCCTCCGTTCAGGGGCCATTTTGCTAACTGGCCTTAAAGTGGCCCTTTTTGGGAAACATGGACATAATGCATCGATCATGACCTCCCTTCTAACTGTCCCAAGTTCCCATTTGATTCTGACTCCTGTTCAAGTCAAATCACATCTCAAAAGAGTGCAAAGGAGTCGGCATCAGCAATCGATCAGTTTGGCCATCGCTGGCCCTACTAGGTTGCTTCTGGTGACCGTAGGAGGTGAATTAGGAAAGAAGCCTCCGCTCCAAGTACTGACCAGGGCCATCCAAGGCACGACAGTCTGCTGGGTGACCTTGAGCCAGTCTCCCTCTCTCAGTCTTAGCCTACCTCACAAGCTTGTTGTTGTAGGGACGAAGGAGTCTTCGGTATGTTCACTGCCTTGAGCTATTTAGGGAAACAATAAAGGTCAGTAATAAATCTCAGTAATAAAAATAATAAATAAATATAGATAAATCTATCACCAGGCCGAGTGTGTTCGGGAAATAACCATATCTAGCCAAAGGAGTCCCTTTTTAGCTTAATTTCCCCAAATCTTTGAGCCCGGTCAGTTTCCAGCTTGGTGGTCAATGCCTATCTTGAACTGGGACATCTTGAAGCCCATTTTTTCTCTAGATAGCCAGCCAGCCAGTCCCAGCCCCTTTCTGGAGAGTTGAAAAATAATCACCAACTGGCTGCCTTCACTGGAGGGCCTGGCTTATTCACTGATTGGCCGGCTCTTCAGGGGCTTTTGCAAGTGAGCCCTGAATCCTCATCCTCCAGAGCTCCTCCACCTGAATGGACAACTGTCCATTGTCCGGAGAGCTGGGAAGCCACAGATGTTGCCCCTTGTTTTGGGGGTAAAGTCCAAATTAAAACGTTGTCCCTTGCATCTGAAATCTAGCATTAGAGATCCAGAGAATCCAGGTTTTTCTATCCATGTCAAATGGAGTCAAAGGGAAATACACATAAGGATTAGATGTTATTCAGCTTAAAAAGATGTTATGAAAATGTGGCTAAAGAAACAAAAAGATTAAATCTTGTACAGTCCCTAAACAAGTACCCTGCAATAGTCCTAGTTTTATAGCCTTTCCTTTTGGGACCGTTCAAAGTTCCAATGGCACTGAAAAGTGTGATGTATCATGGGTCCTTGCACATATGACTGTAGCAGCAACCCCAGGGTCACACGCTCATGACTTGGGTGCAGGGCGATCGGCTTGGAGTTACGACAAGTGACAGCAATGGGCAAAACTGCACTTGCTTAATGACCATTAATGGCATCAGGGACTCGCCCGGGAAGTGCTGGGGTGTCAGAAAAATCAGTGACTGGGAGGGAGAGGGTGAAGCTGTTGCTTCAGCTGGTGGGGGGGTCACCTGGCTCCCCGGCACATTAAGTGGCAAGTCAGGGGAAGGGAGGGGAAGAATTCCTTTTCTTTCTCGAAAGGGTAAAAGGCCACCGTTCCTCCATTCCAGCTATGGGGAGAGAGGGTCAGCGAGTTGTCCCATGTGCTGGTCGCTTAGGAGTACAAAAACCATTTCTGAAGAAGGTCAATTGGCTGGGGACCTCCCTGTGGAGATCTTCACTGTCTTTCTCGAAACACCTCGTCTGCAGCTGTAATTCTTGCATCGTCATTTTGACATGGTTCAGTCCTTCTCCGTTGTCCTCCTCAGCTTTCCACAGGTCTCCAACTGTGGCCTGGGAAGCATAGCTCTGCGGCGGCTGCTGTTGCTGCTGTAGATTGTTGACTTGCTTCTTCTTATTTTCCCTCACATTCTGCTGAAGAGGACTGACTTTCTGCATCAGTTGGCTGGAGTGGCTTTTCTCCGCATAGTAACTTTGGTCCGTCTCAACCTATTCATGCTGCAGACTTTAGAGGTGCTTCTTAAGTTCTTAAGAAGGTTCCAGATTTCTTCGAGACCTCTTCTCAAAGGTTCTAAGGCAGCCTTCTCATATTTGAGAAAGGCCGCTTGGCTGCTGACCTGCAGCGTTCTTTGTGCAGTTCTTCAGTGTGTTTCACCAAATATTTGATCTTTAGTCCTCGCTGAGGGATCATGGTGGTGGCACGCTCCAACCTTTCTCTTTTTTCCAGCAGTTTTCTGCCACTTTTTTGTTGTGCTCTTTAGTTGATCGACCGTCTTCTTGAGGCAACTGTGCTGCTCTTTCATCCATCGTTTGTCTCTTGAATTCCTGGGTCTGAAGGTCAAAGGCATCTCTTGACTGCTTAACCATCACTGGCCACTGAGAGATAGCCCAGGGATATTCACTGTAGGGCCTTTTCTTCCCTGTTGCTGACCTGTCTGAAGAAATGGAGAGACACAGTCACATCCTTCCTCCGTTCAGGGGCCATTTTGCTAACTGGCCTTAAAGTGGCCCTTTTTGGGAAACATGGACATAATGCATCGATCATGACCTCCCTTCTAACTGTCCCAAGTTCCCATTTGATTCTGACTCCTGTTCAAGTCAAATCACATCTCAAAAGAGTGCAAAGGAGTCGGCATCAGCAATCGATCAGTTTGGCCATCGCTGGCCCTACTAGGTTGCTTCTGGTGACCGTAGGAGGTGAATTAGGAAAGAAGCCTCCGCTCCAAGTACTGACCAGGGCCATCCAAGGCACGACAGTCTGCTGGGTGACCTTGAGCCAGTCTCCCTCTCTCAGTCTTAGCCTACCTCACAAGCTTGTTGTTGTAGGGACGAAGGACTCTTCGGTATGTTCATTGCCTTGAGCTATTTAGGGAAACAATAAAGGTCAGTAATAAATCTCAGTAATAAAAATAATAAATAAATAAGTAAATCTATCACCAGGCCGAGTATGTTCGAGATATAACCATATCTAGCCAAAGGAGTCCCTTTTTAGCTTAATTTCCCCAAATCTTTGAGCCCGGTCAGTTTCCAGCTTGGTGGTCTCAATGCCTATCTTGAACTGGGACATCTTGAAGCCCATTTTTTCCTAAATCACATTGCTGCCCCCTCCCGCCAGCCAGCCAGTCCCAGCCCCTTTCTGGAGACATGTACCTTTGAGATGGTGGATTGGCAGTTTGGCCACAAGTACGGAGGCTGCTAACACAGCAGGTATCAGCACCACTGTGATCCAGGATTGAGCCCCACATTTCTAGTCTCGCCCCCTAATTCTGCCTCAATGGGAACTGTCTCTTCCTTCTGACACGTCCAAATGAGGGAGGTCCTCACTGTGCCCACACTGCCAGCCATCCAATCCAGTCACTTTCCAGGGATTTGGAACAGAGCTTTCCAGCCCTGTGGTCCAAACTACCAAGGATGCTGGAGGTTGTCATGGCAATCTCCAGCCAATGAGGTTAGGAGGAGCCCCTGATGTCACAAGCCAAGCTGAGAGTTGAAAAATAATCACCAACTGGCTGCCTTCACTGGAGGGCCTGGCTTATTCACTGATTGGCCGGCTCTTCAGGGGCTTTTGCAAGTGAGCCCTGAATCCTCATCCACCAGACCTTTCACCTGAATGGACAACTGTCCATTGTCTGGAGAGCTGGGAAGCCACAGATGTTGGCCC